TAGCCTTTTACAGCTTTATTATTGGATCTTCCCTGCTTTACATGGTGCATGGAACTTGCTCTGTGCAAATAAACATGTTAAATGAATGGATTCAAGGGGAATAGACTAGATATTGGATTATCAATTAGGTTACTGAACTAGTTCAAGAAGAGGGCACATGCAATCAACACTGCAGAGGTGAAAATGACTGTCCTTGATATCTGGGTTTGGGCTTATGGGAAGAGAAAGTGTTAAAGAAGGCTGACTTTGACCCTGTTCCACCAGGAAGACAGGGATATTGAGAATAGGGTGAAAACACGGTTTGGGGAGAATAGGAATAAGGAAAGATTCTCAATTCTGTTTTGGATTGTGTTGTGTTTGAAGATATCTAGTAAAAGGATTTCCAAACATTCATGAGCCTTTATTTCTTTGAGGGGGCACCATGTTCATATATGCCTGACTTCATCCATGGTTTTATATAGATTTGTAATGATTTCAGTTTGATATTTTCCTTACATTCCTTAAAATCGTGGGGAAGTATCTTAGCATCCGAGGCAAGAGCTACCCTAAGCAGCGAGGGAAAAATGCATTAAAGCAGCTAAATAGTTGAAGGTGAAGTGATCTTCTGATTTCATGCTTTAAGCTGGGCAAATTTTACCCTTCATCTTGGGTAAAATGGATGGAGAAATATGTTCTTTTTTAAAAAATTTTTAAAGAGAAATGTATTTTAAAACATGTTTTTTAAAATTTTTTATATATATTTTAAAGATTTTATTTATTTATTTGACAGAGAGAGACACAGCGAGAGAGGGAACACAAGCAGGGGGAGTGGGACAGGGAGAAGCAGGCTTCCCGCGGAGCAGGGAGCCCGACGTGGGGCTCGATCCCAGGACCCTGGGACCATGACCTGAGCCGAAGGCAGACGCCTAACGACTGAGCCACCCAGGCGCCCGTAAGAGAAATATATTTTAAAGAAATATATTTTAAAAGACAGACCCTGTATTTAGAAACCAGGTAGTAATGGAAAAATATGCATGTACCTAAACTACTTACAACCAAAAAAGTAACAAGTCAATGTAACCGGAGGTGAGGTGGTATTTTGTTGACTACTCTTCCGATTGAGGCTTTTACTTGCTAGAACCTTTACAAGTTGTCTTTCGAGTCCTGCTGATAGTCTGAATTATAAAGGATTCATCCATTCCTTCCCATGTGCTATTTTGAACTATATATTCTGGGGGGCAGACATGCTCAGACAGTTTATCAGTCCAGAACACAATGGTCTCCTTCCCTTCTTTTCCCCAAACTGCACGGCTAACTTCCCGACTCTCCCACAGCATAGATACCCCGAGCTTTCCCCTGCACCCGGTCTTCCCCGTCGCACGTGGGCTAGAGCTGTATTGATCCCGCCAGGAGTGGCGCTTTCCCCCAACTCCCGCCCGAGGGGCACGTGCGCCAGGGGCGGTTACAGTGCACAGCAACGGTCCCTTTTGTCCAGTATGCGGGCGCCGGAGCTGGGCCGGCTGGCGCGGGAGGTGGGGCGCGAGCCCGGGGCGGGCGGGTGCGCGCCAGCTGGGGGCGCGAGCCCACCGGGAGACGCAGCGCTCCGAGCCTTGTGAGAACCGACAGTTGGAGCCGGGGATGCGGAAGCTCTCCGCTTTGCAACTGAATGCGGTGAAGCAGAAAAAGCAAGTTGCAAAACGCTAAGTACAGTGAGATCGCATTTACGTAGGAAGAGCCACAGCGCCCAACTCTGAGGACACACTATGTAAATGCGTTGGAAATGGTCTGACGATGCTCTGGGGAACGGAGTAAGCTGGGAGGGCGGATGAAGGGAGCTGACTTTGTACATGGTGTATTTTTGAGATACGTAACATTATTATTCAGAAAACGTGATCATGTAATTGAAAAAAAATCTGCATTTGGGAAGCTTGGATACCTCTCGCTTCCCATCCGTAGGGACCTGCTCAGACTCTCAGAGCACCGGCAAGATAGGAGTCAAGAAAAGTGTTCTCACGTTCGCCTGTTCTCCCTTCTCCCCTGCTTCTCCTCTCGTCCCCCTCACCTTACTGCAAATCCATCGAATTGGCCTTGGCCTTGGCGGAGGACTCTTCCTCACAGCCCTTGTCTTTATCACAGATCTGCCTGCAAAACCCACTCACAAAGAGGAAACATTTTGAAGATAGTAAATTACTCACAGGCATATAAACCTACACATTAACATTATTCCTAACCCGTATTTGATAAAAGTTAAGATAAAATGTTTACAGGATATTTCTATTTTGTCCCAAACAGTTGTGCCATAATGTTTCTATTCATATGACAACATGATATTTAATTAATATATGTTTTTCATTTTTAAGTTTTATTTTGACATAACTTGACTTAGAAAAATGTTACAAAAATGGTACAAATAATTCCATTATGTCCTTCACACAGCTTCCCGAGATGAGATGTTAACATTTAATACAACTATAGCACAATGATTATAAGTATGAAATAAGCATTACTACTACTCTGTTAACTAATCTATAGATAATATTCAAGTATCTACAACTATCCAACAAATCTCCTTCTCCCCCCCTCTGGTCCAGGATTCAATCCAGGATCTCACAATGCATTGGTCATGTTTAGATAGATACTTCTGATCTGTGATAGTTTCTCTGTTTTTGTCATGATGACACTTTTGAAGAGTACTACTGGCCATTTATTTTTGTGAATGTCCTTTAATTTGGTTTGTTTAGTACTTTCTCATTATTAAACTCAGGTTATGCAGTTTTTTGTTTGGTTGGTTTTTTGGCAAAGATATCACAGAATTTATGTTGTGCCCTTCCCAGTGCATCATATCAGGAGGCACAGGATGTCAATGTGTCATTAATGGTGAGGTTAATTTATTACTTGGTTGAGGTGGTGGCTGCCAGTTTTGTCCAATGAAAAGTTGTGATTTTCCTTTTTGTATTGGATCATAGGAGGCAAACACCCTCATCATACGTACACCAGTTTTACTATTCATGATCCTTGACTGCAACTGTTAGTACTGTGGTGGTTTGCCAATGGTGATTTTCCTATTTCCTTCATTCCTGTTAAATTGCAATATGGATATTTAAATGCACAATAACTTTTAAAAGGACAATAGTTGGCTTTTACTTTTCTGTTTTAACCTAGGGGAAAAAAGGCGTTTGGAGGCTGTGTGATATGCTATGGAATTAGCAGCTAAAATGGAATTTATGAGTGTATTACAAATAATTAAATTCTAAAAGAGTATTTCACCTATTCTTAGTACTTGTAGGGAGATGGATTCTAAAATCACAGTTTACATGGGTTTCCAATTTCGTTAATTGAATTGGTTTTTATTACTCCTGTTTGTGCCCGTTCTCATAAATGGTACATGTAAAATGATACTTAGAAGTAGAACAAAAAGTCTTCCATATTATTTCCAATATGCTGCTAATTTTAGCTGGCATTTGCAAAACTGAACTTTAAATTAACAATACATTTGACTCTCAGCCAATATTTCACTTTATTTAGCCTCAATATTTGCTGAAAGGTTTTACTAGAAATTGAATGCAGTATAAGGAAGTTAAAATTCTTGTGGGTGAAACTTACACATCTTTCAATCCATGGGTTTTTTGGCTATCAAGCATTTTGATAAATCTCATTTGATTGTTACCCTGTGCAGCATTTTCCCTAACCTTTATCACTGCACATGGAAAACTGGTTCAAGATTGGGACTCAGCCTTGATGTCAATTTTCCTTGCTTTCAGTAAGAAGGAAACAGGAGAGTGAGTTTAGTTTGTTGTTGTTGTTGTTGTTTTTTAAATCATTGACCCATTTGAGTATCTGATGTCTACGAATTCTTTCACCAGGAAAATGCCCAAACCCACATGATGCATTAAAGCAAAAACAATCCAGTGTCAAGTGGGGGAAGGGAGGGAGGAGGTTACTGGGAGGGAAAAGCTGGTTGCCAGTCTTTCAGAGGTGTCCCAGAGAGTTTGCCCTCCTGCCATATGGCACAGCCAGCCTCTCGTGGCAGCTCAGGTGGGGCTGCTAAGGCTGAACAGCCCATCTGGCTCCTTGTCATTTCCCTCTAACTCCCTCCCTTAACCCCCAATATCATCCTCTCCTTTAAGACTTAGCCCCCAGTCTGCTCAGCTTTCCTGCTGGCTCTGCACTCCTCCTGAGGTGCTCTCTGTCACCAGCGCTCACCAACTCTTTCATCTCGCTCACTAACCTCTTGTTGGGGAAGATAACTCGGAAGCTCAAGTAAGAGAACCTGACCACTTTCAAATGGCTACAGCGGAGAAGAACTTACTGAATCAATGTGATCGCTCCCCCTTCTCATTAGCACAGAAATCTGGCCACGTTTCCCTGCCTATTTGAAAAATGGAGCAAGAGCTGATGAACACATTGGGGGAACACGTCTAAAATCAGTGGTTTACACAAACGGTGAACATTACCAATGGAGAGAAGGCCCCGTTATAACGAAGCTTTTTTTTTCCCCCTTGAAAATGGAAAAAACGTGAACTCACAGAACCCGCTTCTTCGCCCGCCAACCCTCTCATCTCCTGCTGGTGTGACAGCCCTCGGCGCCTGGCCCAGATCCGGCCCGCCACGGCTCGCGGCAAAGCTTGGCGCTTCTGTGCGCGCCTCCGCGGACAAAGAGCAGGCGGCGGCGGGGCAGGGAGGCCAGCTGGGAGGTGGAGGCGGGCTGCACGGCGCGCTGGGGGGAATCCCTCCCGGCCTCTGACGTCACCGCAGCGCTGGCCAATGAGAAGCGGGACAGGGGGATTCCCGCTCCGGATGCCGCCCCGCCGGCTTTTTAAACAGTACCCTGGGGAATGCAGTCTAGGAGCAGTGGGAGGAATGGGGGAAATGGAAGTTAAGGGTGAAAAATGATGGTGGGGGGGGCGGGGTGAGACTCTAGAGGTTTGACGATTAGGCGTCAAGATCGGCTTAGACCTGAGGGGAAAACCAGAGCCGATTGAGGGGAGGCCAAACTCCAGGTAGGGGGAGGTCCTCCGGAGATGGAGTGGAAACTGGAGCGCACCGCCCGGAGGAGGGTCCGGACAGAAGAAGAGATGCTGTGGGTAAGTGATGTCGTTTTGTTTCCCACGGGTTTCTCGTCGAAGGCGCTATTTATAATACCTGTTTAGGACCAAGATGTAGCAGAACACTCTAAACCCTGATCCTGCATTTTGAGATGAGTAATTTAGTTGTATTCTGGAAGTATCTGCTTGCTAAAGAAAAAGAGTAAATGCAGTTGGACAAGCTGAGGACCTAGAAACATTCCACGTAACATTATGATTTTTAAAAATAGTTTTTCTCGGGGCGCCTGGGTGGCTCAGTCGTTAATCGGTCATGATCCCAGGGTCTTGGGATCGAGCCTCATCGTGCTCGCTCCTCAGCGGGAAGTCTGCTTCTCCCTCTGCCCCTCCCCCGGCTTGTGTTCCCTCTCTCGATGTGTCTCTTTCTGTCAGATAAATAAATAAATAAAATCTTAAAAAAATAAAAATAAAAATAGTTTTTCTCTCCATGTGTTTTTTATATTTTCGAAGGAGAATGTCATGCGGGTGCTCGCCAAAGACCTGAAGCAGAAGAGAAGTCCAGGTTCTCCCAGGGTGAGCGTCTGGTGCTTGCTTTAGTTCTCTTATTTCTGATCTTGAACAAAATGATTCTTCCTAAAGAAGGTATTTGTTGGAAGTATGGCCTGGTCTGAGGATATGAAAATTTAAAAAATCAATCTCTTAAGATATCACTAACTACAGAGTCTAACTATACACTCCCCTCACCCCCCATATCTGTAAGAAATTGAAGATCCCTGACAATGGTGGTAATTTGTATATCACTGGTGCTTTCTAGTTTTTGCCTCAACAGAAGAGGATGAAGCATGGATGTGTCGGGTAGGCAGTGCATTGCTAGCTGGCTGTTACAATTTTATTTTAACAGTGGCTGGTTGCACTTGCCACTGTGGCATTTAAAAGCTCGCCCCACCCCCACCCCCCCAAAGAAATGGAAATGGTGCCATCTTGTGGACAATCGGAGAAGTGGCATAATCGATGGTCTGTCTTTCCTCTTAGCAGTTTGAAATTGATCCAATGTAGTACTTTTTCTCGTTGAAAGTCTGAAGCCAAAGGCCAAAGCTTCTCTTGTAATCAGTGTAAAAAGAAAACAAATCTAGATGGGTTTTTCTTCTTTTTCCCACATAAACAGCCCTCATACGCTTTAAATCTCTCATAATCACCGTTCACCTTGCCCTCTCTCCCGAAATTGTTCTTATTCCTTTAAACTTTACTCATGGATTCTATTTTCAAACCCATCAACATTTTTTCTTAATCTTCTTTAAATTTTTCAATATTTCAGTGGTGACAAAATAAACGCAGAATGGCCCTTTCAGAATGCAATGACTAATGTTATTTATAGTGGGAGACAATGAATGACAATTTTAAGTCCTTAAGTTCCCTAAATACTTTAATATTGATTTTTCCCCTCCAAAATAGCAGCAGTTTTGTTTTTTGCCCAGCTTATGTATTGCCATGACTACTCCTAAATATTTTGCTACCTAATACAGACAGCTGGTTTTTTGATCAGTGAATAGAATTGGAAAAGCTACAGTTAAGTATAACTTTTGTTAATTCGCAGGTACTGTGATACCATATTTTGATATCCAAGCATTGACTTTAAAATAGCTAAGTGCAAGTATTCTGAAAGTTTTCCTTTTTAAGTTTTTGAGGAGATTTGAAAATAATGTTTTTATATTTTATGACAGTTTTGGAGGAACAAGGTTTGTTTAAAGTTTTCTTTTATGCGACTATTAAGATTACAGTTCTGCCACTGTTTCACATTGCAAATGCAGCTTCAGTGACGTCACGGATTATTACAAGCAGCAGTGACCTGAGTCAGGTAGGCAGTGTATTGTTAGCTGGCTGCTTTGGGTCAATCTGGCAGCCACAACTACCCTGCCACTTGCTTTTGGATAAATTCTTCTGGTTAACAAGCTGCACTAGTTACCCGTGTGTGATGGGTTGGCAGTGTATTGTTAGCTGGTTGAATATATGAATGGCATCAGCTAACATACCACTGCTATCTTATTGCATATACAATGGACATCAGCATATAATTAGTTCTGTAATTAGTGTGTGTGCTCATGCATGTGTTTGTTGTTTTTTTTTTTTTTGCTATGAACCAGGCACTAGTTACCGTAATACTTGTAATTGCTATTCTGTTACTCAGTAATAATACAATACACAGCTTTATAAATGGTGAAGAAACCAATACAATTAATTCTTAAAAAAAATCCCAGCTAATGTTTTTGGAGGCCTGGGTACACAGTATGAAAGTATTTGTGAAAGTATGTATTTATCTTTAATATAAAATTTAGGATACAATGACAATGTCAAATGGAAAGCTTAAAATGTTTCTCTAAGTTTTCAACTAAATCTTTAGTATTCTCTCTAGATAATCAGTTTCTTTTTTTTTTAAAGATTTTATTTATTTATTTGAGAGAGAGAATGAGATAGAGATAGAGAGAGAGCACGAGAGGGAAGAGGGTCAGAGGGAGAAGCAGACTCCCTGCTGAGCAGGGAGCCCGATGCGGGACTTGATCCTGGGACTCCAGGATCATGACCTGAGCTGAAGGCAGTCGCTTAACCAACTGAGCCACCCAGGCACCCTAGATAATCAATTTCTTAATGTGACATTAGAGTAGGTCTCTATAACCATGTGTATGTACCAGCTGAAGGGAGAATTGAGGTAACTTTCAAGATGAGACAGTCAACTCGAACATTTTCACTTGCAATATCAAGAAAATTGGAAATTTTGGGGGTGGGGATGGGGTTGAATCGTTGGAGGATTTGCCTCAATTATTCACTTCATTTTCTGTGAAGTCACAGACTCATAAAATATTTGGAGTAAAGCATGAGATTTAGCTTGTGAAGTGGGAAGAATTGACTGTATAATATGCTTTTAAATGTATTCTGATTTCTTTGGAGGCCCTTTTGGCCCATGCAACAGTGTCAGGTACGTGCTGGGTCCCAGACGTACAGTGACATACATGTCCTCATGTGGACATTTGCAGCAAGTTCATGGAACTGACTTTGGTGGTCTGGTCAATTAGTTATATTCTAAGGGAGATGTGAGAAATATATTACCATCTACTGTACTGAACTATAAATTATTGATATAACAATTTTTATTCCTACCTTATTTAAGTTTAAACATTTAAACCATGGGAGATAGATGCCTATAATTGGATTCTTTATGCATTTTGCTACTTTCATGTCTCATTCTCTTTTCACTGTTGCCCATTATCATTCTCTTTTCAGCATTTTTTTGTTTAAGGATCCCTTCCATGTAGATATTGTTTTCATCTTTTTTTCTTAAAAGGTTAAATTTCAATGTGTTATTTTTTATGGAAAGTCTCTGACCTGTTGATAAAAATAAAACCTACTAAATTTAGAAGGCTTGGCCTTTGTATTTTAATTTTTTTAAATTAAAGAACAAGACATAAATTGCCAACATTTATACTCAATAAACAATACATATTTAAGCTGTTCTTCCTTTCCATATTATTGAGATGATGAGAAAGGAGGGAAAGAATAGAATGCAATAAAGAGAAATTAAGATCAGTGTTTCCATAGGAGTAAGAGAGAAAGAGAGAGATCCACACTTGGGACTTCAAAGCTACTCTTCATTCATTCCCCCCAAGTGTTAACAGATCAGCAAGAGGAAGGAGGAGAAGAGTGGGGAACAGTGTGGTGTGTTAGTTTCTAGGTGTGACAGTTAAATTAGAACTTTATTATTCCATGGGAAAGATGAAATCCAGGTAAGGAATAAACATGGACAAAGTGTCCCCATATTGTTTACATGCAGACATACCATTTTTCTTTCAAAGAAACACCATGAATGAACATAGTATTTTATACAGGGATCACTAAAGACTTTTAAGCTTGTTACGGTAATCTTCTGAAACAGTTAGTGTTTTGAAACACACACACACACACACACACACACACACACACAATAAACACACAAAAAACAGTTTTTGTTTTTCTTCTGAGGCTTTGTCTACATTTCTTTTTTTTTTACTCTAGTATTTTCCTACTTGAGGTTACCTATAGACAATCCAGTTAAGTCATTATATTTTACTGTGATTATATAGCATATTGTTAGCAGCTTTTCATATTTCAGTAACTGTACATCCACACATTTTCTTTCTTTTTTTTAAAGATTTTATTTATTTATTTGAGAGAGAGAGTGAGAGAGAGAGAACACATGAGAGGGGGGAGGGTCAGAGGGAGAAGCAGACTCCCCGCTGAGCAGGGAGCCCGATGCGGGACTCGATCCCGGGACTCCAGGATCATGACCTGAGCCGAAGGCAGTTGCTTAACCAACTGAGCCACCCAGGCACCCACATCCACACATTTTCATATAACCTACCTAAACAGTATATTTATAATAAAAATAAATAATATATAGTAAGTTTTCACTCTAGATTTTTCTCTTTGGAGATCCTTATGGTAACCTAATCAAGTCTGATTTTTAAGAATTTTGGTGTCCCGGAGCCCACTTATAGTGGTTTGTGAGAACTGATTGTTAAATTTTCCGAAATTTGGCATGCCAGTTATTAAACCACTGGTAGATGGAAGTTGGCCATGTGGGAGCATTTATACCATGGAAATTGGCAAGTGCTGCAAATTGGGACCCCTCCTCCAGAGAGGTGATGGTTATTTATCAGCCACCTCTGGGTATATGCCATATATACCATAATTACTAGGAATCATATACATATTATGGATACACTATAATTATCAAGCATTTTCAAAAATGAAGTCTGACTCTCAGGGTATATCTCAGGGAAATTCATATTTATTCCATTCTCCAACACTATGGCTATATGTGCCATGAGATGAAGATTAGGAGTTAGAATGAAGGACTCCTTCCCACCTTCTGGGTAAACCAAACTTCAAGCCAATGAATTACCACAATGAAGTGCATTTGATTTTGTCCTTTCATCATAAGGGCAACTGAATACCCTTCGATGTGATACCAGCTATTTTCTGTCATACTCCTCAGGTGACACAGCAGTCTATGTCTCAGGCTTTTGGATGCCAAGACAGGGAAGATATGTTCAATTCAAGAAAGCTACAATTTTTTCCTCTGTATGAGCATACCTGGTGGAATTCACATAAGACATTGGGAGTAACGGGTAGCAGGACACCAGCAAATGGCTCCACACCCTCTTTTAGCACAGAGAGCCTAATTGTTACAGAATCTTGGACACCTACTTGGCACACCTTCAAATCCCCAGCTGCCTTCCCTGCATACCCAAAGGCCAAGGGGAGAGAATCAAGCACTGACTATAGTAGAGACTGTAGGTTGAATAAAGCGACCAGGATTAGAGATCTATAACTGAAAACCCACTTTATATGGCTTTGGAGGACTAGTGACTTTGGGCAGGAGGGACATCTCAACTGCATTCACCAGGACAGTGCTGGTCGGTCCCCAGTGTAGCTCCATCACCAACTATCTGACAGTGGGGAGTCTGCATAGCCTGTGTAGGGCTGGCGTATACCCTTCTGCTCATACCCCTAATGTGAGCACATAAAACACCGTAGCAGTCCTGTGGTACTTGTCCTAAGTGGGAGTATATGGCAAGAGTGCTCTGGGAACAACACTTGGAGAATTTGCCCTGAACAAAACTTTGCTTAGAGGCTCAGAATTCAAACTGCTTCTGTGCTCTTGGGGCAAAATTGCAAAGGAGAGATAGGCTTGTTCGGGGGATTTTGTTCAAAAACAATTCACATTGGTACTGATTCCGTTCCTGATCACTGAAGACACCTTGCTAAGCATGGTCATTGACTCATAGAGCTGGAAGGGGCTCTTTGGTCAGTCCGACCTCAATTTATGGGTGAGCAAATCTAAAAGTAGTCAAGTGACTTGCCCAAAGTCGTACGGCTGGTGAGGGGTAAAAACAGGTTTGCTAACACACTAACCTGCCATTCTTGAAGCTATCCTTGTAAATCTTCTTGACCTCTAATAGAAACTGTACCCCCGACTGTGGGTAGTTGGACACATACTTTGAAACAGAAGGTGTTTGGGGAAATATTTCTGGTTTGTCCAAGAACTTTAAACACTTAACACAGAACTATATATGAGGTGGTATTACTGATCTCACCATATAAAACCATCCTCACTTGCATTAATCAGGTCAGAATTTGGGAGCCAACTCACGGCTTTTGAGATTGGGTCTTCCTTCTTAGCCAAATTTTACAGGATTGCCTTTTCCCTTTTTTTTCTTTTGCCCTCGTCTTCCTCTTGACTTCATGAAATGAATATATATTTCATGGGGCAATAATTAGCCTTCACCAACTTGGCAGGTTGCGTTGTTAGCCAATAATTACAAGACTGACAAAACATAAAGGTTATGACTTTGGGAGAAAAAGCATGTTGTGACTCTATCGAAGGGTTCAGTGACTGTTGATGTTTAAGGCTGGTGTGACTGCAAACCGCCCCCGTTTACATTCAAACCTTTGATGAGTCAGAGTTGATTCTTACTATTTCAGCTATCAGAATGATGTGGCATGGCATTCTTTCCAAATGGCTGGTCTAGTCTGACTATATGAGCAACCAAAATTAATATATCAAGACTTGAGCTAAATCACCAAACACTCCCTTTTTCTTACACTTAGGATTTTCATTCAGAAATAAAGACTGTATTTCAACTACTAATATTCTATTTATAAAATTTGAGTTGCTTCTGGAAAATAACAGAGAAATACTGAAAGTGATGAAGGCTTTTTCAAATGTTAGGATAGTGTCATTTATCAGTGACTATTTGGGCAGATGTAATAAAACATACTATGAACCTGTACTTAAAAAAAAAAACAAAACCAAAGAAAACTAAAGAAACAAAATCCTGTACATGAAACAGAAGTATATAGGGATTTGAATCTCTCTATTTCACATTTTTCAGTGTTTATTTTGTATTTTATTACATAAAAATAGCCATTTACAGTTAGTTACTCCCAAAATTTCAGTCACATACAGTGTCTTGAAAAAACAATGGTCTAGTGTGTTGGCATTTCCATCAAGTACAATCCTGGAAAATGTCAAGGTGAACAACAGGATACTGAAGCACATTGGTGACTCTGTATTCTGAATTACTTAGTGTGGTCAGATGAAATATTTAATATATTGTATTTTGATTCTTTAGCTACTCTTTATTTTTGCTTTAGGTAACATCTCTGACCTGGGGACATTCATTACCACTCACTGGCAAAGTAGCCTAAAAACAAAACACCCCATCCTTCAGGGCCACATTTAGTTGTCAGAGTCTTTAAGATGAGACTCCCCCCACCGACTCCACCAGACTTGTCTATATTCCGACTACTGCATCTGAATGATTCACTGCCATGTTCACAGGTCCTCTTTCTTTCTTATGATCATTTGTCTAATCAGAGCTGCTATCTCAGGCCTGATGACTTCAATGGGTTCCTCTGGCCTCCAGGACTTCACAACTTGGCCCTCAGGGTTGACCAGATACTTCCAGAAATTCCACCTTGGTTCCTTCTTTGAAGAATCTAAAATACCAGAATATATTTTTTATGAGCGTAATTTTATTCTTTTGCTAAGATAGTCATTTCTGTTAGTATCTGTGTAAGTGACTACTTTAGAATCAAATTCTAGGAATGTCAAAAACAAAACAAAGAGCAAACACCCAAACAAAGCAAAACTCAAGCTTTGAGTAACCATATTTCTGTATATTTGGTGACTTCACTGATGATTCTACTGATCAGGAATCACGAAACAAAGGGTTTATTTTGGATCTTTGATCTAAACAACAAAAAATTTACCTTCTCACTCAAAACTTTGTTTCCTAACATTTTTAAAGATAAAATGATGTTCTAATGGTCCTTGGTAATGGCATGTATGGAATTCTTTTCATATTAAATGTTATCTATGGTTTTAATATCATTACATGTTATGTAGACAAAAATGGAAAGGAATTCTTTATCATATTTTTAAGTGTTTATTTAATTCCAGTTAACATATAATGTTAAATCATATTACTTTGAGAAATTATGCTGTCCTTTTGATACATCTTAATTTATGTAAGAAATGTAGATTTTTTTCCACTTACACTATCCAGAATTGATGTGCATTATTGACTAACTGAGAAAAAATATAAATAACTTGTCTGCTATGTACCTAGTAATCTGTGCTCATTGCTCTAAATGGATCCTTTCATTTAATCTTTCCAGCAACCCTGTGAGGTGGGTATTATTATTAACCCCATTTTGCAGATGAGAAAAATGGAGTCCTAGACTCAAGGTCTCATGGCTAGTGAGCGGTAGGTAGAACCAGGACTGATACACAGACCTTCCTACTCCTATGGAAAAGCAAACATTTTAGGAGGATGATGACAAATTCGTTTTTGTATAGGAGGGGATTCAGGTGTATGTGGGACATCTAGTCAGAGGAGGCTGCTGAATATATGGCTTTGGAGCTTAGGAGAGAGAGAACTCACTCAAGGAAAGGGGATAGAATAAGAAGAGCACCAGTAGATTGTGGCAGGATCCTGAGGATCAGCGAGGTAAGGGTTGATGGAAAGGAGGAACCTGAAAAGAAGAAAGAGGGGGGCCAGAGTTGCAGTGTCACTGGTGCCTGTGAGGTTCAGGAGATCCTGGCAAGAAGCCAGACGCAGTGATCTAAGAAGGGAACTGAGACAGGGAAACAGAGATAACAAGTGTTAACTATTCTTTCAGAAATAGTGATTAAGTAGGTAGAAGGAACACACTGCCTAGAGTTTTAAGGCGTGCAATACTTTGCTTTGTGCTGAGAAAAAGAGCCAACGAGAGAGTATAGGTTAAAAATAAGAAATAAAAAGTAGCCTGATTACTTAAATGTGTTTTACTTTGTGCACCACGCCAAGCAGTTAAATTTATTTCATTATTAGAGAAAAATATTTCTGATTAGAGCAAACATCAGTGACTCAGTGTGAGCATCTTATTACTACATTAAAGCCATCTTAAAATCATTTTGAAAAGTTGCCCCCCATTTTTAAAAGATTTTATTTATTTGACAGAGACAGACAGTGAGAGAGGGAACACAAACAGGGGGAGTGGGAGAGGGAGAAGCGGGCTCCCCGCGGAGCAGGGAGCTCAATGCGGGGCTCGATCCCAGGACCCAGGGATCATGACCTGAGCTGAAGGCAGACGCTTAACGACTGAGCCACCCGGGCACCCTGGAAAATTGCCTTTTTCTATAGTGGAAAACGTGTCTCTAATATGTGTCAGGGCAGAGCTCCCTCTAGCTGATCTAACATCTTGGTGTGAATTAGGAAAAGACACCCTTCCACGTGGCTACAGCCCCCTCAGCACATGCCTTGCTATGGCTGAGCTTCAGTCCCCACGGGCCCCTACGTCCAGATGCCCTGTTTAGTGACACCTGCACACACGTGCAGAGTGGTCCTGTTTGTGACCACGTGATCAGTTACTGTCCATTTTGGCTAGTTTTAAAAGATGTAATTTTCATTTGGCTACGATCTCAGAGTCTTTTTTTTTTTTTTTTTTAAGATTTCATTCATTTATTTTGACAGAGAGATATAGTGAGAGAGGGAACACAAGCAGGGGGAGTGGGAGAGGGAGAAGCAGGCTTCCCGCCGAGCAGGGAGCCCGATGTGGGGCTGGATCCCAGGACCCTGGGACCATGACCTGAGCCGAAGGCAGACGCCTAAAGACAGAGCCACCCAGGCGCCCTGATCTCAGAGTCTTTGTCTCTGGAGCTTCACCTAACTTCAGTGCAACCTTAAATCACTGTGCCTTTTTTCGATTACATGGGGTAGGTGGAGTTTCAGGAGCTTTTTTTAGTGATAAAGGGGAAGAACTTAGGAGCTATGATGCCCACATATTTGGCTGCTAGAATTGAAAACGATTACAAGGAAATGTGCTCTGCCTTTTCTTTCCTTAGTGTATCCTGGAAATAAAAGGAATGAAGACATCACTCTGGTTGCTATGCAGGGTATTAAGCATTATATTAATTTTCCCTAGAAACTAAATATAATGTTTTTAAAAGATTCTGATTTCACACTTAAATTTTATAGAGCATCATTAGCCGACTTACTGGACTGGAAACTTGATTGTCTGACTAAGGGCCATAGTTTTATCAAAACTAAAATTGCCTGTGAAAATAGGACTGAGGATATCATCTGCATAAGTCAAATGAGAGGACATTAGCTGAATATCTTTTAGAACAGTGTTTGGCACAGTGTAAGCAGTGTATAAATACTTCACTTTTACTATTAATACACTTAATCCTCCAAACAATCTTAAGAAGTAGGTACTATTGATAGTCTTGTTTCACAAATGAGGAAGAAGGCACAGAGGAGTTAAGTCACGTACCTGAAGCCACACAGCAAAAGCAACAAGAGCAGGGATTTGAAGCCAGAGACTGGAGCTAAAACCTATACCCTTAGTCACTATATCTCACCCAATGGCCAAGAACTCAAAAAAAAAAAAAAAAAGGGGGCGCCTGGGTGGCTCAGTTGGTTAAGCGACTGCCTTCAGCTCGGGTCATGATCCTGGAGTCCTGGGATCGAGTCCCGCATCGGGCTCCCAGCTCACCAGGGAGCTTGCTTCTCCCTCTGACCCTCTCCCCTCTCATGCTGTTTCTCGCTCGCTCTCTAATAATAAATAAATAAAATCTAAAAAAAAAAAACATTTATGCTAACCAACCCCGGAAAATATTTTTTTTTTTAAGATTTTATTTATTTGACAGAGACACACACACAGAGAGAGATTGAGCACAAGTAGGCAGAGCAGCAGGCAGAGGGAAAGGGAAAAGGCTCTCGCTGAGCAGGGAGCCTGATGCAGGGGCTCGATCCCAGGACCCTGGGATCATGACCTGAGCCGAAGGCCGCCGCTTAACCGACTGAGCCACCCAGGCGTCCCCCTCCCCTCCCCCCCTCCACCGGAAAATCTTTAAACAGATTTCTGTAGCTAGCCTAATTTTAGAAATAGCCTAATATCACCCTCCTCCAAAAAAAATCCTTATATTCTGTTTTGAATTTTAGCAAAAGCCTGGTAAACCAGGATATTATTCATCCTTGAAGATAATATCTCAGACAAATAAGGCAACATAAAATTAACCACAAAGATATGTCTAACTAATAATGCCTAGCAATATTCATGAGACATGGATAGCTTTAGTAATGGAGAGGGACATTTCCCCAAGAGCTATTTTGTGAGGCTATTTTGTGAAGATAGCCATGACCACACTTCAAGTAAATTCTTCAGGAAAATGATCACAAGCAATAAAATACATTGGAATAGACTCATTTTGCCATTCAAGAAGTTAAAACATTGATTTCAGGGAAGCATAACTTCTAGAAAATTACAAAAGATGAGATTCTGGCTCTTTGATAGTTTTATCAAGCTTTCCCACTAAGACATTTCAAATGAAATAGAAGACTATGGTCCTGGTCTCTTTGTTTTAAACATGAAAAGCAATTAAAAACATTAAGTTGGCGAGGCAAGGTAGATATTTACCAACAAGAAATCTAAATGCAGGGTCTGCTTCAGATCCTAGAATCTTAATCTTGTGGAAGATGGGGAATGTCACTCCGTAGTTATTTCTTGCAAAAGATACTACTTCCTTGCTTGGGCGGGGCTCCGATTCTCCGAACTGATTGCATGGAAAGGCCAAGACGCTGAAGTGAAATGGTCCAAACTCTTTGTGCAGTTCCTGCAGTGCTAAGTAATTTCTGTCTGTGAGTTGGCAGTCACTAGCCACGTTTACAACTAGTGCAACCTCCCGGAAAAAGAAAAAAAATCCAACCGGAAAGTGAAGCAAAGAAAAGATTAAAAAAGAATTCTGCAAGTAGTTAAAATCCTAAACCATTTTGAAGCAGATAGTTATTTCATATTTTTAGACCTACCCAATTTTACTGAAAATCGTAACCTGGACGCATAAATTAAGACTCTGAAAGATCACCACCATTTAAAAAAAGCATCAGATACAACAGTTTGTTTTTAAATAAAAGATAACAACATCGATAAGTGCTTTTTAATGTTGCTAGATTATGGAATTAGTATTTCTTAATGTCTCCATATTCCCATTACTAACTAAGAATTTCCTAAACAACTTAAAGTGTTAATTCAGCACGCCTCTGAAGACAGGACAGTCAGAGTTTATCAATTAGAAGTAGATACACTATGAGAACTCTGATGGCTAGAGTGAGACACTAATAACATTACTTTGAAGATTAAATTATAATTTATGACCCTTTAACAATGAAAAATTGATTCCATTAAACAGAGAACATGAACAGACCATAGGGGAAAAAAAAAAAACAGAAGATGCAACTTACTTTGCCTTTAAACTTTTCCAGAGAAACTGTTCTTCCTTTTGCATCTTTCACTTCAAATGTATAAAAGCTGTTGATTTTAGGTTTTAGGAATTTTAGTTGTAGAAGAAATAGCATTACTGTGCATAGAACCATAGACAGTAAAACTGCAAATACCTTTGCTTTCGACCCTGAACATCTTAAAGGGTACGCTGTAAGAGGCTCCATTTTGGATGATTCTAGAGGGAAGTCTCAGCAGGCTGGAATTTGAGGAGGAGCTGAAACTTGACACCGGCTCAGTTTAACGGAAAACCAAGAAGGACAGACTAGCTTCTTTCCCTGCTAAGGAATAGAAAGACCTTTCTCAGATGGGAAAGGAGTGAAACTCCTGGATAAAATAAAGAGTGCTAAAGAATTGCAATGTATTTATGATGCCCATTGCAATCTTTGCTAGAAAAAACAGGACTTTTTTGATAGTTCTTTAACATTCTCCTGACAAAATATTTCACCAGAAGATGGTGCCCTTGTAGGGCGCAAGCTGTGGATTGAGCCCTCCCAGTAACTGGTTAAATGTAGGGGAGTGGGTAAACACCACTGAGAAATAGTTCAGAAGGGTAGATTAAATGTGGTCTATTAATATGGTGTATATAGCTTGAAGGAATTGAATATTATACGTACACATTAAACTTGCTACATCAGTTCTAGGAATTTACAGTGGAAAGGGCAGAGAAATATGTGAAGGGGCTGCTTGCTCTGACTTCATCTAATTAAGGCAGTGCCAGGTGAATATAGCAAAAATAAACAGATCAAACACAATGAAGGCTTAAAAAAAACCCTCCTATATCGTAAAGCAAACTATAGTCTGGTGTTTTTCAAATTTTTGATCATGACCCCCAGTAAGAAATGCACTTTACTATTTAACTCAGTACGCAGACATACATAACTGAGCAGTTTCATTAAACAACACTTCCCCTTTGAACGTTGATATGCCTATGGTAGTTTTAAAACAGCCTGGTTCCGACCCATGACAATGATTCAATGGGTTGCAACCTGTAGACAGAAAAAATACTGAACTCTATAATAAATCAGGAATTTAACAATTAAATCAGACAATTCTACCAAGAAAGCAAAAACAAACAAGGAAATCCCCCAAACCCACCTCTCCTTGGGTGCATCATCTAGTTGCTTCTCCTTCTTCTTTTTTTTGTCTTTGTTTTTTCCGTGGCTGTTGCCTCTTATAGGAGGCCTAACTTCACTGTTGAAAATTTCAGGGGTACGAATGGATGGGAAATTGAGGGCTGCAGTCCTTGGATCACCTTAGCCTTTTCCCTAAGTCACACAGCAAGTTTCAAATGAAGGTGCTTCGTTCTATTTGGCCTGAATTTTGGAGTCATGGTGTGATTACAGAAAATGCTAGGAAAAAGTGCACGGAAGGATCTGAAAAACTGTGGGTGTGCCCTTTCCCTGCAGGATTAGATCTTTGGCACTTTAGAGGATGTGCTAAGGAAGCTACAGCTCCACTTCTGGGCCCTGCATCTGTGGTGTGTGCTCTTGGGGGTAGATGAGCTGAACCCACAGCTTAGCCATGTACGACCTGTCAGAGACTGATAAACCATGTCGTTCCCACTCTCTCAGAGCCTGGTAAGAATGGATACAATAGAAAAGTCTCTTCCTGTACACATAATTTCTGGTAAAGAACAAAAATGTACACAAAACCTGTTGTATCACCTCTTAACTATGATAGTATTACTTGGGTTCTCTCTGGCTGAATTACTAAAAAAGTCAAACTGTATATGACACCTGGACTTAAATTCTCTGACCTTGCTGCTCCAAGTGCTTTGGGCTCAAAGTGCCCAGTCTTGTCATAGCGAGCAATACAAAGTAAATGTTTCTTTGTTTCATACATTGGCTTCCTTTAAATATTTGAATACAGTTCCTTATGGGTCTTCTTTCCTCTAGATTAAATACCCTCGGTGCCCTCACTCCATTCATGTCTTGCTCCATTGCTGTGTTCCCTGACCTCAAATCACTGCAGTCCCTTTCCTCTAAATGAACTCAGGTTTAGAATCCTGGCTGGCTCATCTTACAGGACAGGTCCAGGCCTGGACACAGTTCTCCAGATGGGTTCTGACCAGCACAGAGACAACTGGGTTTCCCTCGCTCTTGTTTTGGACACTGTTTTTCCCGTAATGAGACCTAAAATTGTAATGCTTAAAACAAAGTCATCTCATTATGCTATTGATTCATATTCTGGTGGTGAGTATCTAATACTGCCAGCCCTTTTCACTGCATATCAGCTCTCTCTCACGTGCAATGAAAAATAATCATTATTGCATTAGGATTCTCTAGAGGGAAAAAACCAATAGAATATAAGTAAATATATATACATGAGGCTCATGAGGTTATGGAGGCTGAAAAGTCCCATAGTCTGCAACCTATAAGCTGGAGAACAGGAAAGTCGGTGGTTTAATTAAATCTAAGTCCAAAGTCCTGAGACCTGGGGAGCAGCTGGTATAAATCAAGGAGTACGAAGGTCTGACAAACCAGGAGTTCCGATGTATGAGGGCAGGAGAAAATGGACGTCCTAGTTCAGGAAGAGAGAAAATTTGCCCTTCCTTTGCCTTTTTGTGCCATTTGGGCCCCCAGTGGATTGGATGATGCCCACCCACAGTGGTGAGGGTGGATCTCTTTACTCAGTCTACTGAATCAAATGTTCATCTCCACTAGAAACACCTTCCCAGCCATACCCAGAAAAAATGTTTTACCAGCTCTCTGGGCAGCCCTTAGTCCAGTCAAGTTGATGCATGGAATTAACCGTCGCAATTATTCAGCTATCACGGACTGCCTAACCCAGTTTGGAATGGGGAGGAAGGGAAGTCAGAGACACCTTCCTGACGTGATGGCTGATCCCAGCTGTGAAGGTGGGCTAGAAGTTACCCTGGCAAAGAATTGGGGAACAGCACCCAGGTGAGGAGACAGTATGGAGGATGTGACAGGAGATGAGCCAGAGAAACACACACCTGCTGAGACCATGTAAGACTGTTGGTGTGAAATTTCTTGATCATTTTTCTTAGCTGAGATGTCATTTATGAATAAATAAATATATTATGTATAATATATGTATATGTACATACATAAACATATATCCTCTACAATTGGCTTGTTCATTTCTTTGCTGATGGTCATTTGTGTTATCACTACCTTCTGGCTATTGGGAATACTACTACCATGAACATGCATGTACCTGCGTTTGTTTGAGTTTGGGTACCTGTTTTCATTTCCCCTGGGTCTATACCTAGCAGTGACATTGTTCAATCATGCAGTAATTCTAGACTTAATTTTCTGAGGAATTGCCTACTGTTTTCCACAGTAGTACCACTTTACATCCCCATAAGCAATGTACAAAGTTTCAAAGTATGTACAAATGTACAGAGTATTGCCTTTTAAGGATGTCACATAGTCTATCTACTCAATTCTCCATTGGTAAATATTGAGTCCTTCCCATCTTTTTCCCCTATAAACATATATACTGCAGTAACACCCCCGTGTTCTCTGCTGAGAGTGTGGACTGTGGAGTCAGACAGATGAGATTAGGGTATAGCATCTCCAAACGGACTCACTGTGTGGTCTTAAGCAATTCACTTAACCTCTAAACCTCAGTTTCTTTATTGGTAAAGTGGGAATAAATAACAGACCTGCTTCACAGGTGTTTCTGAAGATTAAATATGAATGTATGTAAACATTTAGCATATGGGTTCATATTGTGGTAAGCACTCAAAAATATTTTGGTTTTGTTCATCTTTGCTCATATTTTTTAATTTCTTCCTTAAATTCTTAGATGTGACGTTTCTGGGTCAGTAGAGGCTATACACGCATTTGAAAGCTTTTGACACATGTTGCCAAATTGTCTTTTCCAAATAGTAATTTATGCTCCACCAGCAATGTATGTCAGTGTTTGTTTCTAGAACCTTCAACCCTGGGGCTTGTCATTTAAAAAAAATCATTGCTAGCATCTTGTTACTGTTTTAAATTAGCATTTCTTTGATTATTAGTGAGGTTGAATATTTTGGGGATATTTATATATCTCTTTTGTGAATTGTCTTTTTGGGTCCTATGCCCTATTTTTTTCTATTTGGTTTGAAAATTTGTCTAAATTTTTCTAAGAGTCCTTTACACAAAGATATTAATCTAACATGCCTGGCATCTTATTAAAAATATATTTCCAATTTGTCATTTGCATTTTAATTTCATGTAGATACATGACCTTGTTCACCATTATAGGATCTGTAAGTACCAAACTCCTGGGGCTTCTCAGAGGGAATGAGATGAATGTTGAGCAACTTAGGCCTCAGTTATCTCATCTGTGAAATGAAAAGGTTGGACTAGAAAATTGCTGTTTATTTCCAGATTTGCAATTTTGTGATTTTGTATAAACATTTTGTCTGTTCAATATATAGGGTTATTTCAACTTCATATTTTATATTGATATGTAATTGTAATAACTGTAAACATAATTACTCTCCAAGCTGCCTTTGTACATCTTGAGACCCTTGAACAGAGGCTCTAAGTACACACACACACACACACACACACACACACACACACACACACACACACATTTATATATATAAAATAACATTCTCTCAGGTCACAAAAACTAAAAATCTGATTTATAATTTGTTTTGTACTAGTTGAGTTGTTTATAGTTCTCCTTTAAGGAATACCTACTTTTGCATCATTGAGGCCACTATAAATTACAGCTTTTTTTCTTGTTAAATAGATATTTGATGAAGTTAAGACTACATATTCTAGCTTCAAGAGCAGCTTTGTGAAGAGGCTGTCGGCTGAGGTTCCCATTGCCAGTAGCCCAGTTACCACCAGATGGCGGCAAAGCCAAACCAGGGATCTGGCAGCCTGCTCCTTTGGGGAAGAGCTTTCAACCACTTACCTCCCAGAAGCTTCTGGATCCATGCTGAAGATAACTCCTGAGAAAGAGACTCTGTTTCTAGGTGAGGTAATAGAAATTTCACAGGCTGTTTAAAAAAATTGTTAATGAAACAGATATTTCCGAGAGAATCTTTGTCTCATAGAACTATCTAGTATCACATTCATCAAGTGCTTTCCTTTTCTTCTTCCTTTGAATAAGAAATTCCCAAGGTGGTGATGTGGGGGTCGGGGGTGGGGTGGGGTGGGAAATGAAACAAAAACAAAAGACAGTATGTTGTATTTTAGATGCATTTCTGTGATTTACGGTGGTATGTGATTCCTTTTGTAAAGATTATAATTATATAAGATTTTTCTTTTTTTATTTTTTATTGTTATGTTAATCACCATATATTACATCATTAGTTTTTGATGTAGTGTTCCATGATTCATTGTTTGTGTATAACACCCAGTGCTCCATGCAGAATGTGCCCTCTTTAATACCCATCACCAGGCTAACCCATCCCCCTACCCTCCCCTCCTCTAGAACCCTCAGTTTGTTTTTCAGAGTCCATCGTCTCTCATGGTTTGTCTCCCCCTCTGACTTATTCCCCTTCATTCTTCCTCTCCTGCTATCTTCTTCTTTTTCTTTTTTCTTAACATATGTTGCGTTATTTGTTTCAGAAATACAGATCTGTGATTCAACAGTCTTGCACAATTCACAGCGCTCACCGTAGCACATACCCTCCCCAATGTCTATCACTCAGCCACCCCATCCTTCCCACCCCTCACCACTCCAGCAACACTCAGTTTGTTTCCTGAGATTAAGAATTCCTCATATCAGTGAGGTCATGTGATACATGTCTTTCTCTGATTGACTTATTTCACTCAGCATAACACCCTC